TCCACCTTAATGACAGCAGTACACTCAAAGTTATTATGAGCTGTGACCTTGCTTGGCTAGCTGGTGGCAAAAGACGTATTTTCTGAATACTCCTATCTTGCAAAACATATGAGGTTTTAGAGGCTTGAAAAGAGATTAGCTAAAGCAGAACCTTAAATCCTGAAGCCCTGGAAAAAAGGCTCACTGAAGCGTTTGGATCAGCAGTGGCTGGGGAGCTCTTTTACTGTGTGAACTAGAAAGGACAGTGAAGGTGAGAATGGCAGAGTGGAGTGCTGCTGCAGTGGCCAGGAGGGAGGAGCAGCAAGTGGATATCCCTGATTTCTAATACAAGTAGGAAAAAAAAATCAACAAGAAGGAGATATTTATTGATCCTACATCCCCACCCTGCTTTTCCGCTGGCCTCAAGGGCTGAGATTGTACTGTTTTGAGCACTTGTGTTGTATTTCTGTTGATACTTATCCTCACGAAATTCACAGAAACAAAGTAAAATCCTACTTCAATGCATGTCAGGGGTGGTTTTGCAACCTAATTCCCTGGAGCCAGGATTTTGCTCAATTAATATACCCCGAAGAGCCTAACCACTTTTCTGGGCAGCCTGTTCCAATGTTTGATAACCCTTTCTGTGAAGAAATTTCTCCTAATATCCAATCTAAACTTCCCCTCGTGTAATCTGAGGCCATTTCCTCTTGTCCTGTCATTTGTTACTTGGGAGAAGAGACTGACCCCCACCTCACTACAACCTCCTTTCAGGTTGTTGTAGAGAGTGATAAGGTCTCCACTCAGCCTCCTTTGTGCTAGACTAAACAATCCCAGTGCCTTCATCTGCTCCTCATACGACTTGTTTTCTAGACTCCTCACCAGCCTTGTTGCCCTTCTCTGGACATGGTCCAGAATCATAATGTCTTTCTTGCAGCGAGGGCCCCAAAACTGAACACAGTACTCAAGGTGCGGCCTCACCAGTGCTGAGTACAGGGGGATGATCACCTCCCTAGTCCTGCTGGCTACACTATTCCTGTTATAGGTCAGAATGCCATTGGCCTTCTTGACCACCTGGGCACACTGCTGGCTCGTATTCAGCCAGCTGTTGACCAACACCTTTTCTGCTGGGCAGCTTTCCAGCTGTTGAACCTCATGCCACTGGCCTTGGCCCATCAATGCAGCCTGTCCAGATCCTACCCTCAAGCAGACCAACACTCCCGCCCAACTAGGTGTCATCTGCAAACTTATTGAGGGAGCACTCGACCCCTTGTCCAGGTCACTAATAAAGAGCCCTGGGGAACAACTGGCTGCCAACTGGATTTAACTTCATTCACCACCACTCTTTGGGCCTGGCCATCCAGCCAGTTTTTTACCCAGTGAAGCGTAGGCCCATCCAAGCCATGAGCAGCCAGTTTCACCAGGAGAATGCTGTGGGAAATGGTGCCAAAGGCTTTAATAAAGTCCAGGTAAAGAACATCCACAGCCTTTCCCTCATCCACTAAACAGGTCACCTTGTGGTAGAAGGAGATCAGGTTAGTCAAGCAGAACCTGCCTTTCATAAACCCATGCTGACTGGGCCTGATCACCCTGTTCTCCTGCATGTGCTGCCCAATGGCACTCAGGATGATCTGCTCTGTAACCTTCCCAGACACCGAGGTCAGACTGGCAGGCCTGTATTCCCCGGATCCTCCTTCCAGCCCTTCTTGTGGATGTGTGTCACATTTGCTAACCTCCAGGCAACTTGGACATCCCTGGTTAGCCAGGGCTGCTGATAAATGATGGGAAGTGGCTTGGTGAGCACATCCACCAGCTCCCAGACCCATAGACTTGTGTGTATCTAAGTGCTGTAGCAGTTCACTCACCATTTCCCTGTAGATTATGGGGGTTTCATTCTGCTCCCCACCCCTGTCTTCTAGCTCAGGGGGCTGGGTACTCAGGGAACGACTGGCTCTACTACTAAAGACTGAGGCAAAGGTGGCATTAAGTACCTCAGCCTTTTCCTCATCCTTTGTCACTATGTTTCCCTCCTGTCTAATAACGGATGGAGATTATTAACTTATATCAGAGACTAACAGATGTCAGCTTTGCCAGAGAATGAGCTGACGGGCAAATGTCCCAGGATACAGTGCTGACCATGTCGTTCCTTTGCATGGTACTGGCCACAGAAACAGATGTGTTGCAACCACGGACAGCTAAGTGGGATCAGGAAGGCCTTGGACTATGCAGAAAGATAGCACAAAGTGTAGTGAACCTGTGAATGCAAAATCCAAGATTTCACAGAAAGCTCTTTAACTGCCTCATCATCCCCTTTTATGGGGAACTGCTGTTGCTTCTACGCTACAGGGGAGGATCTGTCACACAGAGAAGCCTTTTGTCAGTGTCTCATAGAAATGGGCCTTCAACAAAACTCAGCTTCCCCAAATCCATGAGATCTACACACTGTCCTTTTCTTGACAGTGAGCCTGCCCAGTACACTGGATTTAGCACTAATAGTCCCACTGAGGTTATGAGTGGAGAGACAAAGAGATGGACTCTCCAGTGACTGTGACATCCAGTGTCAGTCTGCTGGAGGAGTTCCCTTTGGAGCAGAGGTGAAGCCTAACAGTCACAGATCTTTGCTACTTATGCCATGGGCAGATAAAATAGATGTGTCTGGGGCTAACGAGGCAACACTTTTTGTGAATAAAAAGCCTTTTTGTTCCTTTTTTTTTACAGCAAAAAGAGGAGAAAATGAAAATTGGATTGTGTCTATTTTTAGGCAGATTAAAAAGTTATTCAGACTAGAGAGAAAGTGGCTCAAAAATAGCTTGAGCAATATGAAAGTGGGGCAATTGCTGAAGATCTACAAGAATAAAATGAGGGCAGGAGTCTGGGAAACCAATTTTGAAGTAGCTGCGAACGTTTCATTTTTACAGCCCTGTTTGGTGTGTGCCTGCTTTAAAACACACTCTGATGCCAGTGGAAGCCTACTCCTGCACCCCAAATCCATGGGGTTCTTCAAAGGCAGCCAGACAGCCTGGTGTATGTCTGGTTGTCCCACAATCTCAGTTGTGCATTTTACAGCCTAAACATTCAGTAACAGCCTACCCAGCCATTGCCACCCACTGTGACACAAGTCTTGTGTCTCTCACTAAAAGCAATCAAGCGTATCTGGGTTTGTCACATCTCCCTCTAGAAATGACCACCACTGAAGTGTGTCTCCGTAGGCAGTGTATTTCTGAGGCTGTCCTGCTCTGGCTTCTACCCACATTCCTCAGGCTTCATCATGAATACTTCAAGTTGCATGCAAACATTGAACTGAAAAGGCATGAGCAGAAACTAAAAGGAGGGTTTGGAAATAAGGCAGGCTTGGAAACTGTTGCCCAGAGTTTCAGTCAGCATGTCGTGGGCTGTTCAGGTTGGAAGTGAATGCTGAGGGGATGTGTGCTCCTAAGTCACCCAGGAGATAGCTATAATCTGCCAGGGAAGTGGTGGAGTCACCATCCCTGGAGGTACTTAAAGGATGTGTAGATGTGACACTTAGAGACATGGTTTAGTGGTGGACTTGGCAGTGTTAGGTTTACGGTTGGACTCAGTGATCATAAAGGTCTTTTCCAGCCTAAATGATTCTGTGATTCTATGATTGCTAAGTAATGCTCGCCTTTTGCCCCAAATATTGAAATAACGGGAACAGCTGGCTGGGGCAAGAGTTGCATGCACCAAGAAGGGACATCATTTCCTCCCAGGTGTAGATGAAGCAAGGCTGGGGTGGAGCAACATGCAAGGAGGAGGCCTGATAAGGCCACTTGTCTGCACATCATTTTGGCAGGGGGGAGAGACCCGTGCCCCCTGTCAATCTCTTCTCTGCCAGCCCCTCAGCATGCCTTCTCCAGCAGATCCACGTCAGCCCCAGTGGTGGCGTGTGGCCAGCTGGCCTGCCTCCACCTGCCTGTTGCTGCCAATCATGGGGTAGCGGTGACACCCTGGTCAGAGCAGGGGAAGAGGTGAAAGATGGGGCCACCGAGCCGTTCTCCCCCAGCAGCATGGTGCAGGCAGCACGGCAAAGCGGCAGCTGGCACTCAGCTCCCAAGGAAGGAGGAACCAGTCACTGTTCCTGGGAATTGAAGGGGAAGGAATATGCAGGACAGCTTGCTGGGAAATGCAACGGGGTTGTGTGAAAAAACCCCTCGGGACCAGCAGGCATGTCCCATTGGCTGGGAGGCCAGCAGCGATGGTGGCATCTGTCCATCACCTTGAGGAGAGCCCTGCCTCCTGCCCCAGGACACTGGCCGGGGCACGTGCCTCCTGCCCTTCATCCCCCCTACTATGATAAGGTTTTAACCACTCGCCAGCAATGTATGGGGCTTGGTAACTGCTGTGGGCATGGGAGGCTGCAACATAAGATGCCCTCTGCTTTGGGATTACAGGTCCAAGGGCCAGCAATTCTCCTGGTACCCCGCAAGCAGAGAAGGTGCTTCAGAAAAGAGTTTGAATGTCAGCCGGCAGTCCTGGATGGTGCCCCAGGCAGGAGGAGGAGGAGGAGGGAGTCCCATGAGTGCTCACCTCGTTGCTGCTGAGGAAATGGGACTTTTCCTCTAGTGGTGCAGATGAGGCCCTGAAACTGTTTAATCCAAGATCTGTTATCCAAAGCCTCATCACTGTGATGCCCAAGGGGTTACAAAGAGAGATACCCTTATTAAAAAATGCAGCAAATACCTTCTATTTTTGTTAAGCCCTAGTAGGACAGGCTGTGCCTTGGTTCTTTGCACAAGTGAAGTCTGTCCCTTCGCAAACCCTGCCTGCATATTCCCCAGCATCGACATCTTCTACTCCCACCCTCTTGCTCGCTCCCTCTCTCTCAGATGATGCAGAGTGCCAGCAAGTCCCTCAATGGTGTCATATCTGTCCTTTTTATTCATTGCAGGGTTTATTTTTAGCCTGAAACAACTGCTTCCTAAAAATGGAGTTCCTAATGACACGGGAGCTGGACACAGCTATGTAAGGTATCCAGGGCTTGGCCTGACAGCTTCTCCTGTCTGTCTCTTTGTTGTGAGTCCAGGACAGCAGAGTTTGCTGCTCCCCACCAGCCTTGCAGAGTTTGGGCTGATCACTAGTAAGGCAGCAGAAAGAGAAACTCGATTCGAACTTTACCCAGAACCTTTGGTCTCCCCCTCTTCTCAAATTAAGAAGGAGGGGGACCTTTACCTGTCCTCCGCTGCACCCCAAGGGCTCCCCTATGAAGGCGACTTGCTGGATCCTGGCAGGTTTTTACCTGCTTTTCTGCTGCAAGGCAGAAGAGGGACTGAACTTCCCCACTTATGATGGGAAAGACCGAGTGATCGACCTGAACGAGAAGAACTACAAGCAGGCCCTGAAGAAGTATGACATGCTCTGCCTGCTCTTCCACGAGCCTGTAAGCTCTGACAAGGTCTCCCAGAAGCAGTTCCAGATGACAGAGATGGTCCTGGAGGTAAGCGCTGCTGCATGTCCCAGCTGGGGTCAATACCACAGCACTGCTTGGAGCTGTGGAGAGGAGCCATGGGACAGGACAGTCAAAGGGTCTTGTGCACGGGGGGTTGAGCATCCAAAATTCTGGGTTTGTTTACTTGGATTTGAGTTAGCATCTGAGTTCTGTGACGCCCAGCAAAAAGCCTCTTTTGTGCTCCTCTGAGTTGTTTGCTGGGAAATAGTCTTTCTGGATTGTGTGTCAGAAACCCAGGCAATAGCGAGTAACCATGCAAACCTCAGCAATGTGAACTCAGCTCAGCTGAGCTTTCCCAAATCTCAGCACAGACCTGAGTCCGCAGCTTGAAATGTTAAGATCCTTTCTCATTCTGTGCAAGCCAGTATCCCCCTTGCATTCTGGATTCAGTCCCATTTTCTATCCCACAAGGAGTAATCAGCCAAGAAGCCTTACCAAACTGTGCTGCAAACGGGCGTCCTAGCTCCCCATCTCAAAAGCTCGCCATTGGGGCAGCATTAAATCCCTTTTTGTTTTTCTGACACTTGGTTGCCTGCTTGGAATCAGTCTGTAGCCTCTTGTTAATGCAGGCATTCACTTTTGTGCTGGAAAAAAAAAAAGTGTTGTTAATTCTTTAGTGAAAGAATGATTAATTAATCCTCAGCAAAATAAATCACAGTAAAAATTGTGAAGCAGTTTCATAGCATTCTTTCTTGTAGTGGAGCTGTAATCTAGGGAATCATACAGCTGCAAGCCCGGATTGTTAGGTGCTTGTTTCCTACCAGGGGCTTAGAAATATTCCCTCTTAACTAAAAGACACATTTGGAAAGAAAGTGAGAATTGCAGAAGAAACACATAAGCTTTATTTATCAGACCCAGAGAGAAAATTATTTGCACCCCTAGGACTATAGCAAATGTGAATTAGAAAATACGCTTGCTGAGAACTAGGACCTGAGAAAGTCCAATGTCAAGTTCAAAGTCTACTGACCTCCTCAGCAAGCCTGACAAGAAAGGTTCAAAAGCTAACCAGATTTTACTCACTTGTCAGGAAACAGTTACTTGCTCCAGGTGAGCAATAAAATAAAATTTGGCAAAGAAACGAAAAAATAACATTGGAGCTCCACTTGAAATGTTTATGGTTGGGAGTATAATTGCATTGTTATTTAATAGGATAGCTATTTTGTACTCAGTAGATGGCAAGTGGTTGCTAAATACATATTTATAGAAATCTGACAGAAGCAGGTATCTGTTGTGTGCTATCAGTTTTAGTCCCCATGACACCTATACCCATGTTAACGATCAGCTTTATCAAGGTTGCGATGGCTACAATGCAATCGGGCTTAAAGCTTTTATTTTGCAGGGTTTGATTCAGCAGTGAGTACATTAGCTTAGGACTCTGGTGATTTGGTTTCCAATTGTTTCTCTGCCATGGACTTCTTATGTGACCTTGGGCAAGAGATTGAGGATTAGATCCGCAGCAGACTTTACATAATTGTAGTGCTCCGGTCCACTAATGCTCAGCTACCAGCTAACCGTGCCACACAGCAACCGGCACTTGTGGCTTTGACCTCAGAATTTCCCAAGCACTTGCAATGCTGATTCAGTGCACGTCTCAAAGCTTCACAGTCCTCCCCTGGACTGGGAACTGCAGCAGCAGCAATCTGGCAGCCTGAGCACAAGAGCGAGCCGCAGGCTGAGCACTCTTTTGCCTCTGTCACCTGAGGAAATCAGATGGGGAGAGGGTCTCAGCAGTCAACAGAGAAGATAGGATGTGTCTTGCCCTGCACAGGACACAGCTCAGCAAGGTGCTAGCACTCCCAATTTCTGTACTAACTCAACCATGGGAGCACTCGTGAAAGGAGTGGGCAAGCCAGGTGGTGATCTGCTCCCTCTTGTGACAGCATTCACCTCCCTCACCTCCAACCATAATGTGTTGTGCCGTGAGGGCCCCTCTCAGTCTGTCCTGCCATCCAGCTGTGGGACTTCACTGCATGTTCGCCAGGGCGGAGAGAGGGAAAGAAATGTTTGCAGTGGCTCTGTGGCTGAGGTGTGGAGCCATTCAACTGGCAGATGAGCTGCCTGCAATTGGTCTCCCCGGAGGCAGTCAGCAGCTGAACCCAGCTCTCCCGTAATTTGAGCAAGTACTCAGAGTAGTGAGCTGCTGGGTAGGCACGGGAGTACTGACAGGGCCTCTCCTTCCAGCCAAATCTGGGAAAAGTTCACCCAGGAAGGCTTTATGTATCTAATTTCTGCAGAGGGTTCAGGACTCTGAGTGTGCTGAAGGTCCTTTACACCTGAAATAAGGTATCTAAGAGGCAAACACTCCAGCCCTTGATGTTCCCTGCTGGCCAGCTTGGGGGGTTCCCGGTGTAGGGTGCTGCCTTTGGCAAGACGCCTTTCTGGAGCACGGCATGTTTTTCCAACTTACTTACTGAGAATTTACCTACTGACTTACAACAAGAGGTGTTTCTTCTACAGCCTGGGAAATATCATGTCCTTAGCCTTCCATCCATAAATGGCACTGGCCTCCATCACTAGGAATAGTAGGGAGACTTCATCCAAAACACAGGCAGGTGTGGAGCTAAACAAAGATCTGAGCTGGGTGGTTAAGGGTTATTTTGTCCTATTGTCTAATGAACATGAGTGTGTGTGCACATGGGAGGGAATGGGCTTAATGGATGTTAAATCCAGGAAAAAAACCCAAATAGTCTACCCTTTCTGTTTCTCCTACATGTACCTTATAGGAAATTTATAATTCCAAAGAACAAAGACCTGAAAAAATATCTTAGATACCAAGAAAAGAACAAGAGAGATCCAATGTCTGGGTTCCTGCAAATTTGCTAGGAGAAACTCTCAGATGTGCCCAGGTAGTAGATGGAATGCCATGTTGCTGAAGCAAGCAAGTCCCAGCAGTGCTGACCAGTTTCTTCTTGACTCCAGATCCAGCCACCAGTTTAGGCTTGAGCACGTGGAAAAAATCCACAGCTATAAAGCGCCCAAGAAGGGCAAGATGGGTGTAGACAAACACTCCTCCAAGCTAGAAATATATTGTCCCTTGATCACAAGCATGGTTTCCTTGAAATATGAAGCTTGTGGTCAAGCTCTGACTGGGACTTCTCCCATGACTGAGGAGCCCACGAGGCTCTCTTACTTGGGTCCTCTGGTGTCTAACAGAGGTTGAGCTCATGTGGTGACATTTCCCTCTTTCAGAGTACCTCAGTCTCTTCCCTTCCAAGTCCTTGCTCTTCACAAAACTTGCAATAACTTTATTATGCTGAGATCTTTATGTATATATAACTTTATTATGTTGGAAAATTTGGCTGAAAAGGGCCTATAACTAGAAAAATTATTAGGGGAGGCAGCTGACAGACAGACCTGGGAGGAGAGAGAAGAGAATCACATGGGTCTCGTATCTGTGGGAAATAAAGCTGAAAAACCTGACAGCACATGAGTGAAGTTTAGCACATATTTGAGGACTTTACCAAACCATAACTACAAACAACAGACTGAGAAGGAAGCGATACAATAGGAAAAATTTCCTTCCCAGGACTAGGACTATAGGCCAGCATGCAGGACCAGCTGACACTGTCAAAGCACACGAGCTGTCACCAGAAAAGGGTTGCCATCATTAAGCTGATACTGCAGTGGGACAGCACATAGGGTCTTCAGCTCCCCGCACCCGGGTGTACTGGGAACTGTGACCAGATTGCCAAGCAGCCCAGGGTCCCTTTCCAGTTAAGAAAGGGAATGAAGGTGAAGACCATCATGAAGCAGCCCTGACAGCTTCTGCCACCTACACTGCTAGGTGCTACCTGGCAAGGACAAGGTCTGAAGACAACTGAGCCCCTCTGGGGGCAACAGCAGCTTCTTTGGACCATCCTTTGTGCGTGATGACAGCTCCAAGGACAGCAGTGTCAGCCCCTCAGGTTGGGGTGGGAAAGCTGGGGGCTGTTGGGTTAGTCTGTCAGAAAAATAGTCAAAGCAGTGCTTGGAGATGCAGCTGCCTACTGTTTTCTGGCTAGGGTGGAAAAGGGTTGGGGAAGGGCTGTTATAAGACAACCCAGGGCAGAGACAGTGTGGGCACAGACTGTGTCACAGCTCAGGTTAAAGGGATCTACTCCTTTGCTTGCCTTTCTGCTATGACTCCACTCTGCACCACTGGTTACTGAAAAGTACCTGCAGATTGAGCGGGGAGAAGCCTCCATACAGGGTGATGCAGAGGTAGAACCAGGCAGTCCCGGGGCTAGCAGTAGCTATTCCTATCTGTGGCGAAGTTTACAAAAGTCCTGCATGCCCCATGAGGTGAGCATAGTGAAGAAGTAGATGGAACAGCCAGGCACAAGGCCTCATAATAATTTTTTAACAGACAAGTAAGAAACAAAGCTACTTTTCCTAAATGGTCTCAGCTATAATGAAGAAGGGGTAAAACAGGAAAAGACCAGGCAGTGAAGCTGAGAAATATCTGTTCTGCTTTCCTTCTCCTCTGTAGCTACCCTACCGTATTTCATCCTGTCTCATACCACTGCTTGTCAGACCTTCTCCCTTCCCCCTCTCATCTCTGAATCTCCTAAATATCAGGATAGTTTCACCTTCCGGTGGGCCAGCCCTTTGCTCTAGGAATCATGTAGAAAAATAATGAACAGTGTGATTAGGGGCTTTCCTTTTGCACTCGAGAAGCTCTCTCTAGCAACTGAGGTTGTCTCACTACCATAGCAGGCTGCCTGCAATGCACTCCGTTACCCTCTCCTCTGCTGAAATTCACTCAGTCCTGGCTCCCCTGTCATTCTTCTCTTGTCACCTGTGTTCATGTGTAATATCCTTAAAAAAAAAGGGGTTGTCAAGCCCAGATATTCTAGGCACCTCAATGCAACAGTGTCCCATGGCTGAAAATTCATGGAGAACTGCCCTAGCACAAATCAGTCTGATTCGAGGTAAGAGAAGAGGGATGTGGTACTTCCCTTTCCAGATGAGGTCTAGGATCAGCCTAGCCTCTAGCAATAAAAATGGAA